AAAAAAAAAAAAAAAAACCAAAAAGCAAAAGAAAAAGACCAGATGAGGGGAAATGAGCCAAAAGAGAAAGAGTGGAAGTACGAAGGAAGCAAAATCAAAGTTGAGAGCAGACACGAGGTAAGGCAGTGGCTGGAGAGAGCATTGGGCCTGACGACTTGTGACTAGGCTCGAGGCGGCTCTGCCTGGCGGAATAGTGGGCGATATACCGGGATTATACATGGCCCGGCGTCATCCTTGTAAGATACCGTAACCTCTCAATACTTGGGGATGGGTCGCCAGGCACCAAAAGAGGCGCAGCATTGATTATTTTGTCGGAATGTCTCTCGGCATGGCATACAGATTACAGATCTATTGAAGAAGTCCGATCAGATCGAATTGCTCGGTGCGTAATTAATCGCCATACATCCGTCACATTACCGTAATTTGGGTATTAGCTTAGATGTGGAGTAGTACTAATAGCGTACTTTGAGGCGCATGGTGCAACGCATACCAATACTAGTACTAACTACCCTAGTACTTGAGGACTGGTGACAGTGCTGGGTTATTCATTCGGATTGAGTTTCGATTTTTGAAAAGCTCTGTCCACATAAAGTAGACACAAAGGAGGGCAGGCCACGACCGAAGGAGCACAGCCATAGAAACTGACCCGAGGATAAGGTATGGGACCTCCGGATATGTGTCTAAAATGACTAACTAATCTACCGATGTATGTACATACATACATTCATACATTAAGGATGCGTAGTTTATCTGCTTAAACTATTTACCTCCAAGAAAAGGGACACCATAGAACTTTCAATCAGTCCAAAGTCTCATTAATCTTCCGTCCCTTCAGAGTTAAATGAGGGAGTGAGGCTATGTTTTGTCATGCTGAAAGCCTGAAACCCTCGTCATTGTGGCTGGCCACAGACGCGGAGAAGCTGACGGTTTTGGCCACTCACAGTCAGTTTTCTAGAATATTGTGGGAACCCTTGGGTGGCTGTACACTCCCACCGCCTGCCCGACACGGCTCAAAATACCGCTGATTGGACCGGTACGCTATGGATCCCTGCAGCCTCTCAGGCGCCTGTTGCTGCCGTGGCCAGAGGGGTCACATTGAATCTGTAAAGAACCACTGGTCGATCCCTCGCACCAGGGGCCCTGATTGGTAGGAATCATGGTCCGCTCCATCATGGATCCATCCTGTAGACACTGATCCATAAGATTCGAACTTTTTTCCCAGTTGGGGTTTTTTCTGTCTTTCTTTCTTTCTTTTTTAAACAGTAACCGATGACCCGGAGATCTGATTTGGAAGCTTTTCAGAATTACAATTCAATATGGGCGTACCCGTCTCTATATATCAAAACTAAATTGCCCCTTATCGATTTGCGTTAGTACTAGTTAATTACTTGTGTGCCTGCCATGTGGTGCGTATCTTTTGAGGCCCTTTCATTCTATATCCAATTCCAACTTCAATTTCTATCTTTCTCTTCTTCTTCTTTTGGCTCTGATTTCTATTAAAAGCTCCCCCACCACTCAGGATCTGCAGACTACTAGATTATGTGCCTACTACTGATAACATGCTTAAGCCTTAAGGGGGTGTACCCCATGCTTCGGCGTACTCCGAAATCACATGTGGCGTAAATATATGCATACTAAAACACTCTACCTTTACATTATATTGTGGAGAGACTCCAAATGCGACAGCTCCAGCTCAACCTAGGGACAATGGTAATCCCCAGCTTCATTGATGGACCCAACTACGTATTAATTGCAGCTTGACTGCCAGACCCTGATAGTGGACGAAAACACTATTAAAGCTCGAAGCGAGAATCATTTGGCCTCTAGCTTGGGTCTACTGTAAATCCTTGAAATTGTCATATATCACCTCAAGCTTTTCTCGGAAAAACTAATTGGTCCTGTGACTCGACATGATCAGTACTACTAGGTATAATGACAGCACTGCCAATTCCAAAACCTCTGTTTACTTAATTTTTTTTTTTTTTTTTCAGTCTATATTGCGGAGTGGGTCCTGTGCAATAAACACCGCTAGCTAGAAGAGAACCACTATAATTATCTATTGTATGAATCGTGATATTCTTGTTCATCTCAAACTGAACTGTCAATGGTGTGGTCTAGGCTTCCTAGGTGAGCGCGGTATTCGCTAGGCGGTAGTAGCCAACCTCTCTTCAGGGCGAGATGAGATTGTATTATGATGGCTATGCTTCGTTCCCCTGAATTGTCAAGGCGGAACAGATAGTATGTAAGAGAGACGGCGTAGAGTCGCAAGCAGCTGATTGACGTCGGCATAGAGAACATATCGATATTCACTCACTTGCATTCGATAGGAACTCCATCCTTGCAAAAAACCAGTGTTTTCACTCCTAACCGTACTTTCTCCCGTGATAACAAAAATTCTTGTGTCCTCCTACCTAGCCTTTTGGACCTGTTCAAGATCGCGTAGCCTTGGTGGAAGCATAATCTAACTTGATAGTGTGAGTCTCCAGTAAAGTTGAGCTCCTTTTAGTTATGTTATCATTCTGACCGAGAGCGCAAGCTGCCTCAACAAATAGCACACTGCCTTTCAAACAGTCAGATATCGGTGGCATGACCTCAGTGAATAGCACAAGGCCCTGGCGCTCAAAACAGTGTCATTGGCCTCGTGTCTGTTGCATCACTGATGCTTTAAGTCCTCGGGCAGTACTGCAGTGCGGCGGAGAGAGACTACTCCTGGAGTTTCCCTGGGTTGGGTCACTATTGATAGAGAACTCCGCATTCCACTGGAAAGGACAGAACTCAGCGCCATTGCTGGTTGTTGCCGCAGTGGATATAGAACTGATAATCCCATGAAGTTCGCTTACAAGGTCATACATGGGGCAAATGTCTCTTATTGCCTCTGCTACCATGACGGCAGACATAATGGGCCATGGTAAGCATGTACAAGACCTACAACGAGGGGAGGATCCTGGCTGTAACTACGGGATGGAAAGCGTTCAGATGAAGCAACACAAGATAGCCCTTTGCTTTTATCACTCTCAGCATTGGATTCCAATGAGTCCATCCAGGTATTTGTACCCTCAGTTAACGCACTTTACAGGGGCGGGGACAATGAATTCTTCAGGGTTATATGAAACATCAACAGACACCTTCCATAATCCATTTCAAGTAAGATATCCATGCAAGCAAGTGGTATCATTGTCATCATTATTATGATATAATATCCAGAAGATCAGTTATGGCTATTATACCCATTGAATTATACTAGTGGTGATTGTGAGACTGTTATTGCGGAGCGCGAAGCGCTCTGCCATTGTTCTACGCAGTATAGGCGCTTAAATTAGTCCAACATTTAGGTGTTCCCCCTCCGCCGCAGCCAAAGTAAAAACAAATTAAAAGTAAAAACCATGAAGAAGAAGAAGAGGAGGAGGAGGAGGAGGAGGAGAGAAGAGAAATTGACATATGCAGACCTGATCCCAGCGGTTCTGTAGGACTCCTGGTTGGCTGAGCTGGAGAGACGATCAGCATTGGCGCCAGAATAAGACGCTAACAGGTGATGCTCATTCGCTTCACGGGTGACCACGCCTGCATGAATCCACTTCTGTGAGTTGACTGGAGTCATCTCTTCAACCCCCTCCCCCACTGTGATAAGCTGGGCGGTTATGCTCGAGTGATGAGATCGCCATCCACTCATTGTATTGCTCGGCTTTGTCTCGCTCCTCCTTGCTCGCTGTGCTACTTTGACTCTCCCCCAATCACCTTTCCAACATGGCTTGCTCAACAAATTCCGGGCGCTTAGTACTCTATTCACACAGCAGATGTGATTCCATTCAACATGGTCCTTTCCCCCCCTCCCCCCCGCTGGTAGACCAGCGGCCAGCCCAAAGCCCATCAGTAGCATTCAAATGGGTAATGCCTCGCGCAATTGACTTGATCAGTTTCTTTTCCTACCCTCAACATCTCATACCTCTGGATCTTGTTTGGCCCAAGTAGCGCTGGCTTCGCATGCTTTGCTCAAGCAAATCGTCGGCAGGAAAGTCGATTGGTAAAACTCCTCAGGATATTAAATCGGTAAGCTATTGTCGTACCATTCGAATCACACAATATACAACTGACCAAGCCCCTCAAGATCGATACTGTGAGACACAGTCGAATCATTTGCTCAATTTTTTCAGTAGGGTACAGCCTCCTAATAGTGTTTCCCTCCCCTGTATTATGAACACCGACCATAAAGCTCTTTCGTCCTTTACTATAACTGAGTATTCAACACTAACTCTCTTGTCTCCCCCAGAGTACTTGGAGCTGTCCTTCTGAGCGTCCTTCTTTCGCTGCTTACTACTGCAAAATACTGGAAGAGAAGGGGCTGCGAGAGCTGGCTCTCTGCACACCTGAGCTTGTATCAGTTAGCTTACTAGCAAGCTTCGTTCTACATACTGTTTATCGACGCTTGTGTCGAATGACAGCCAGACAAACCAACCTTTGAATTACGGAGTGACTCAGACAAATATATAATTCGCGGGCGCGGCTCTCATTCAATGGCACCTACACAACAACCAATTGTAGAGGAGCGAAGCTCTTCGGACACTACGGCCACGTCAATAAAAAGCCCTCGGACGGCTCGCTTTGTGGAAGCAACGACGGTGCAATCCCCCACTGGCCCTGCTGACACCAGGCGGTCACCATTCGCAGACCCTCCCGGTCAGTCCCGGACACCCCCTGATGTGTCCGACGTTGGCTTTGGATATGTTGCTGCCAATGATCCAGTGCAGCATGCATCCCATCACCAGCTGCCAGCTTCACCGCTCAAAAGTGCTCTAAAGGTCCCCGGAACACCTGGGCGCACACTAAATCCACTCAGCCCAACTTTTCGTGAAGAGTTTTATGTGGAGAAGGAAGAGAAGTCTGCAGAGAAGGAGAATGCTAGAGATCTGGTGAGTGGAGTGGAGGTGAAACAGTCTTCTACCTAAGTGCTCATACTAATTCGATTCTAGCGAATCAAACTCCGCGTCCGGGTGGCTAAGATGTTCTTGCGTTTCGTGAATTTTGGCTGCAGTCTGATAGTGGTCACAATCTTAGCATTGACTCTGTTCGTCTTCCATTCCACTAAATCACTGCCTTCTAGGGGGGGGTTCCCTGCCTGGGCCAATGGCACCAATCCGTGGACTCAATATTTGCTCCTTTCCGTGGCATGCGTCTCGTTGTTTGCTTGCCTTATCGTATTTTGGGGCTATTGGAAGGGCGGCCACAAGCGTGCCGAAAAGCTCACTGTTTACTATCAAACAATTGCAGTGTGCTTCTTCATGTTCAGCCTTGTCATGTGGATTGTCGCAGCGGCGCTTTACCAGAATGAAAAAGCCAATGGAAACAGCCAGGACCTTTGGGGTTGGTCCTGTAAGAAGAACACAAGGGAAACATTATTTCACAACGATATTGACTATGCCCTCCTTTGTCGGTTGCAGGTGAGTCTTGCCAGTTGCTGGCTTTTAGTATTTCTCTAGTGCCATTACTGATGTTATAGGACTGGGGCTTGGTGTGCGCTATTATTGAAGTTGTCCTCGAGGTTCTAGTCATCCTTATCTATGCGGTTGTGTTCTATCGGTTCTGGACCAAGAGGCGCCTTATGAAGTCAATGGACCGTCGTGACAAGGCTAGATCTGATCTGTACCTTGCCCAGCTCCGCCTTCAGTCAGCGCCCAATACACCTGGATTTCCGCTCGCCCAAAAGACGCCTATAATATCTACAGCTGTTCCACAAGATCCCTATTCAATGGCCGAGAACGGCGAATCATGCTCTACCCAGTTTGCCACCCCCCGTTCTCCAACAAAACCCCAGCCGACCTTCCAGTTGCAAGCACCTCCAATCCGTGTACAACAAGCGACTCCTAAGACAGAACAGAGGGAGTTCTTTGGCCCTAGTTCCGTTCCCACGACTCTTGGGCCGGCATCAAATGTCAACCAACACATGACTGCTGCGCCTGGCGAACGGACCTACGATGCTGTGCCTATTCCAATGGCATATTCAAGTCCAATGTCGCCCACGTTCCCTCATGCCTCCCATAAATGATTTCCACATTTAAATAGCACTAATCAATGGTTGAAATGTGTATATGCGCCTGCGCACGAAGCCTTGAAATGCGGAGACTGACGCATTGTATTTATTCTCGATGATAATCTTATCCCCCGCTCCCTTGTTTCAGATGGCTGCGTGGTATTGGTTTTTTCTTTCTCTTTCTTTCTTCGAAAGTTCCGACTGCTTTCGTATATTCTCTCATTCAACGAAATAGTACGTGTTCATCTGCCACTATATAGCTAGCGTACTATATGCGTCTGCGTCTATCCTCCACATTGATATGAATCAAAGGAACAATATTGTGATACCTGTTAAACGAGTGTACTAGGATATTAGGAGACTCCTGCTTTGTCCGTATATCCCGAAGGTTGCACAGAAGCATAGGCCCAACAAAAGTAGTATAGTAGGACATTCACCAAACTAAAGTAGATACAAGAAAGTCAGAGAAGTATAGGAAGGAAAAGAACCAAACGGCGAATGTGCTCCCTCCATGATTGTGATTAACCAGTGTAAACAAATCAATATCAGACTATTCAAATAGAGCAAAAACCACAAATACCACCCTGTATAAAGTACGAGCCCCAACTCCTTTGTAACATAAACTCGAGCATTGACCCTGAGCCATACCTCGTGCCTCATGAACATCCTATAAATCTGTAACAGGAAACTGTGTGTAAATTTAATATAAACAGACGTCAGTCTCATCATATAGCCCCCTCTTCAAGAACCGCATTGGCATCCTTTATGACAAAGATGTCTTCCAGCCTGCCTTCACCAAGACTACTAGAACCATCATCATTCTGCAGCATGAGACCCTGTTCATTGGCTAAATGAAGCAGACAAATGAACCCGAACGAGGTACTGATGTCACGTAACGTTTCTGGAGGGTAGACAGATTTGAGTGAATTCATGATCTGCGTAAACCGGAGTTGACCATTTTCCTGCTGCATCTCGTTCACAGGTGTGGGTGTCGGAGGATCATCGATCTCATTCTCAGTGGGTTGTTCTCGATGGCTTTCCTGGGAGGAATCGAAACTTGTTGATGCGATTAAGCGTTCACCCATACCCTTCCACATCTCCACTTTAAGTCGTCGAACATCAACCTTCTTGGCCACCCGTGCATATGCAACGTAATCGGGGCGTGCTCTCCGACCACCTTGTGTTACTAGTTGTGACCCGAATCCTCCAGCTCCGCTCTGTAACGCCGAACCAGGTGTGGCGCCCACCATGTTCAGGAGCGCTGTAAGCCCCGAAGCACCCCCAGCGTCCCCTACTGGGTTTCCTGGCTGTCCATCGGATGGTGGAGAGAGCATCTCTCTAGCATCAGCAAAGGGTAGGTTATCGTCGTCGTCATCACCCAAGCCAAGGCCGTTGGGGAACGCAAGACCATCATCATCTGCGAAAAAATTTGCATCATATGCGCCGGGGGCACCTTCTCCATCAGAAGCTGCATTATTCTCTGGCTTATGGTTTGCCCAGAATGCTTCATCCATTTCTCCATTTCCTGCTGTCCGGTCTTCCCTGCGTTGGTTGAATTGCCGAGTACCCACCAGTCTTCTCGAGCCCATCCTGGCTTTGGGTTTGAGAAAGAGGCGAAGCAACTGTCGCGAATTGAAGTGTTTATCATCTGGAAGAAGATTACGGCCCTTTGTCTTCCATTGTGTTTTGGGCAAGGATATGGTGGAGTTGGAGCTTGCTGGGGTATACAACAACTCAGCAACGGACGATTCGAAAGGCGCAGAAAAGTCAATTTCAAAGGGCTCTTTTTCCTTCCGTTGCTTTGGGGCAGCGGTAGCAGTATTCGCCGCAGCATGCTCTTTGATCCTGCGAATTTTCCAGTGTTCGGGGCCTGCCCAGTTCTTTTGTAGGGCATTATCGAAGTAGCTGAGGATATTTTCATGGTCCTGCTTGTTAGGCTGATGAGTAAGAGAAATGGCATATGCATCGTCATTGTCTATCTCTTCACCATCCTGAATCTCATCGTTGTCCCGATCGACACGGTGAACTTTAAGCATGGGCTCCAAAGCAGCTTCACGAGCCCATGCTTCACCACCATCACCGAATCCGGTGTCTCCACCAAGATCAAAGCCCGCCAACGTTGCATCGTCATCATCAAAGCCAACAGCATTATCGTCATCGAGCATGATTCCAGATGCGTCATTCGGATTGTGTCCTTCCTCATGACCTTTATCATTACGCCAGTCCTCGGGGGCCTTGAGAAATGGTATATCCAACGACCCGCTCGGGTCGCCAAGATCAAAGTTTTTCAGCGATGGGCAGATATCCTGCATTTCAAGATGTTCCAAATCTGGGAAAAACTGGTTCGCCAAGGACGTTATGTCAACCTCCACGTTATCTTCGAATATATCGTCTGACGATTGCCTTGGAGGTGGCGACGAAGATCCTGGGCGTTGAGGATCCTCTGACCCTTGGCGCATATCATCTACATCTTTCAAGCTCTCTTCTGTGGCGTCATCACTGCTGTCGAAAACTATTCGCCCTTGCCCATCAATTGCCAAATGATTCAATAGTAGGCCTTTCGCGCCGCCTTCGTCAAAATCCGCTGAGGCCTTTTTGAATAGTGGGTCGACAGAAAATTCAAGCTCGAACTTCTTCAGTTGGAGTGAAGCAAATGAGGGTGCAAGTGTAGCCTCATGAGATCGTTGCGCCTTCAAGGGATATGTTAGTTATTTTGTACCACTTGACTGGATCGCATGAACTGTTATACCTTCCGCCGGGACTTTCTTCCCATCCCTTCCTCTCCTTCGTCCTCATCCTCGGCACCATCATCTACATCTGTCTCATGGGGCTTTCTATCGCGACTATCGGCCAAGCCACTCAGAAGTTTGCCGGTCTCCGTCGCAACACTGTCGACTCTGCTCGTATAAATTTTGACGCACCCATCGAGCGTACAGCTAGCTTTTTGAAAGTTCACACCGTCGCCCTCCTTTAGCAAGGACATGTCATGGAAGTAGTCAATAAGGGCAAAATTCCATGAATTATTTGCGTTGATCTTGTTGTCAGTCGCCATCTTCATCCATTCCTCAAAGTTGGCTAAGATAGGTACACGCTTCATCGGGGTTACCGCTCTCCGACCGTCGACATCGCTCTCGCGGCCTCTGTGTCCCGATCCACGCGGTGTGACCGGGCTCATGCTGGATCCACGCTCATGGCCAGTGTATCTTCGAGGAGGCATAGGCGTCTTGACAGCGGCTTTGATCTGGTCCATCTGGCGGTCATGACGAGCCTGCCGGGCTTCCATACGAGCCGCCTTTTCGCCCATGTCATCGTTGAGCGGGATTCTTAGTTTATCAGCTTCCATTGTTCGTAAAGTAGTATAGACAGATCAGGCTTTCCAAACGCACTTAATAGGTGAGTTCTTATGGGGGGTAGAAGCACCACCACCACCAGAGCGGCGGTGCTTAGGATTCGCTACGCGGGGCATTGTGAGACCTCTCAGGAGTACAGGATAATATCCAATGGATCACAGAAGATGGAGGTAAGAAGAGTGAAAGTAGGAAAAGAAAATTAAGTGACAATACAGCAGCCACAGATTAAGATACTCATTCTCTGCAGACGATTAGCTGTGGCGTACCGAATGCTGTCGCGATGTTGCTAAATACAGCGGAGTTTCCCTCTTTGGCCGACAGAGACCAAACAAGAGTCAACAAAAACATACACCATACCAGAGCAACCATGAGTGCAGGTCCTTGTCTAGCTTCTTTAGGCGGATGGTCAGGTCACATGATATGTCATCACTGCCTTGAAATGCACGTGATAGCGATAACAGTTCGAGTGGTGCTTTTCTTTTCTTTTCAATCTTGTTGTACTTGGCTTTCTTTCAATATAATTATGCTCTCGCTTTATTGTGGTGCCTTTGTCGTTCCTTTTTCACACTCACCCGACTACTGTCAACTCCTTGTAGTATTACGTAGGTAGGCTTGATAAGGCGCCTAGCCTCAACCAAACTTCAAGAAGCGGCCACCTGCGAGCCACTGTCTCCGCCTAAGCTCAAGGCTGACATCAATGAGTGGCTGGTGACTTGCCGCGTGGAGTCCCCTCTTCAATCTACACTAATTCAATCACTGATAGCTACATAACCATATGCACGTCCGTCCCCCTTGCGGTCATGTTAGCCATCGCCGAGATTTCGACGTTTTAAACCACTACCTTGTCTTTCTGCCAAGCTGCAACTTTTCACGTCCCTGCCCATGATGCTGTCGTGTCTTACACTATGTCTGAAATACTCTATCCAGTCTTGAGCCGCCCATCAGGTCGGCGTTATTCTGTTCGACCTTTCTACTGGACTCTCATGGTGATCACGACCTTGGCAGTTCTTAGCTGGACTCTTGGATCATATGAAGATGAAGGCATTACGTTTCCTGTCAAACGTTTTCTTCCAGGAGGGGGTTCCGACAGGCAGGGTATCTTCAAGAGAGGCGCTGATCTAGAGGTATCACAAATAGTTGCTTTCATTATCCATAAGAATTCATGAGGATGACTTGCTAAGATGTTCATTTTCTGTTCCAGTGCCGCATGGTTCGTAAAGCACACGACAAGTGCTCTTATGTTCGCACGAATTGCCCTGACCATGAAGATGGCCTGTTTTCGTATCTCCAATTCTACTATTGCTCTCTCGCAGGTGCCAAGCCAGTCGCATTCACCATCCTTATCCTATGGCTTTCACTGCTGTTTAGCACGATCGGGATTGCCGCCAGTGATTTCCTATGTATTGACTTGAGCACTTTAGCCGGTGCACTTGGTTTGAGCGAAAGCTTGGCCGGGGTCACGTTTCTTGCGTTTGGAAACGGAAGTCCGGATGTCTTTTCTACCTTCGCCGCCATGAAATCTAACAGCGGTAGCTTGGCCATTGGGGAGCTGCTTGGAGCTGCGAGCTTTATCACGTCGGTCGTTGCAGGGTCTATGGCGCTGGTCCGCCCGTTCAAAGTTGCTCGAAGAAGCTTTGTTCGTGATGTCGGGTATTTCATCGTGGCTGTGAGCTTCAGCATGTTATTGTTAGCAGATGGCCACCTCCATGCGTGGGAATCTGCCGCAATGGTCACTCTATATTGCTTTTATGTCGTCCTAGTCGTAACCTGGCACTGGTACTTTGTGCGTCGCCGTCGTGTCTATGAGAGGGATATAGCTGCGCGATCACACTTCCATATCCCTGAAAACCAAGAACTGGAGATCGAGGAAGCCGAAGACGATGATCCTGGGGTCATCTCTGAATCCACAAGTCTTCTTCATGGTGTTTCAGTGCAAGATTTTGACGCCTTAGAGAGAGGCGGAGAGGCCCCTTGGAAAGATGGAGATGATGACGAAACCCGCAACCGGTATCTAGCAGAAATACGGGAAAATATGCACGTGTATCGTCCCTCTGAACACAGGCGTAATACTTTAAACCCAATCAGACCCAGTCTGGTCGGTGCGCTGGAGTTTCAATCCGTTGTTTCTTCTCTTCAGCGGTCGCGAAGTACCCATCAGAACGTCCCGATTACCCTCCAGCGGTACACCGATGGTTACGATAGGGCTCATGTGGCATTACCAGAACGCGATAATATCTCTGTTGCTTCACACCCATGGGTCAGTAGGCCTTCTGCAGCAAGCCATCTGTCGCCTAACAGCGGAACGAGTTCAACTCGAACTCGAGCTGTGTCCGCCGATGATGCCACAGGTCTGAAGTTAGACACTAGCGTGTTCGATTCTGGTGCAAAGCGACCGCACGTTGCTATCACCCGACCCTCGGTCGATGATCCATCTACATTTGTTCAGACCCAGACCCGTCAAACGGATAAGACTGCCGAGTCAGAACTATCGCCATCATCGTCCGGACAAGCATGGCGAAGTCCCAGTCCAGAGGGAAGTGCGCGTCCGCGGACTCCACAATTACTTGCACCCCCTGGTACTTTCCACCCTCCAAACTACCAGGCTGAAACACCCGAACCAAGATCTCCTCTTGAGATTTCCCCACGAGGGACACCATTCGCCTCTGAGTCCGTTGATGTTCCAGTGGAAAGCCCTTGCAGTCCATTTCCCCCCTTCCTTGATACATCTAATCCGGCGCACTCCAGGGCACCTAGTATACGCCTACCACCTGTTTCTAGCCCCACGGAGGAGCTGCAGGTGCATGACAGCATTTATGACACTGGGTGCCCTCGAACTTCATCCCAGATGCTGTGGTTGTTTCCTTTCACTTCCGTTCTTTTACCATCTATCATTCGAACACTCTTCCCTACTCTGGTCGGGTGGAAGACGAAGAGTTTCTGGGAAAGGATACTAGGGGTGATTGCAGCTCCTAGTGTGCTGCTACTGACGATTACTGTCCCTGTTATTGAGCCGGCACAACCCGAAACCAGCGCAGACCCTGTAACAGTCCTAGTGACTTCAGCAGATGGAGGAGACTCGGGAGTACCTGCAGTGAGGTTACCGGAGGATAGCCCTCTTGTTCAACCTGTTGATCATGGATCCACTGCCGAGCAAGCTGCAGGCCATACAGGCAAAAGTCAATCAAGGCAGGGGCGGCAACGTTGGGACTCAGAGTTGCCCGCCATTCAATCACAGCCAGATCCTTCGGCATTGCCTCCAAAGGAATGCTGTCAGTGGCTAGTTTGGATACAAATATTCACCGGCCCTTTTTTTGTTGCCTTGATTGCCTGGACGGCCCTTGATTCTGGCCTAGACATCCGCAATCTCTTACTACCGTTCCTCTTATCACTACTCTTTTCGCTGGTATGCATCACTGGCCTTATCACAAGTTCACGACATGGTAATTCTTGGCAATTTCCAACTGCATGGCGTCCTTTGCTAGCTTTTCTGGGTTTCATTGTTGCTATATGCTGGATTGCGACTATAGCTACCGAGGTCGTCAGTCTCCTCAAGACCCTAGGAGTGATCTTGAACATCAGTGACTCACTCCTTGGACTGACCGTTTTTGCTGTTGGAAACTCGTTGGGCGATCTTGTTGCTGATATCACCGTTGCTCGCCTAGGCTACCCAGTTATGGCGTTGAGTGCCTGCTTTGGCGGACCTATGTTGAATATTCTTCTAGGAATTGGCCTAGGTGGCCTATACATGACTCTTCATGCAAAAGCAGAAACGGTAGCCACGGACGGAGTTCCGTATGAGATCACTATATCCAAGGTACTCATCATCAGTGGCGCCACATTGCTATCTACACTAGTAGGGCTACTGGTAGTAGTCCCGTTGAACAAATGGAAAATGGACCGAAAAATCGGCTGGGGTTTAGTGATTCTATGGTGCATCAGTACCCTGACAAATGTCATTGCAGAAGTTTTAGCTTAAGCCCTCGTGTCATGGAGGTTTCTGCTGGTGCATCACCGTCAGCAGGGAGGAATTTTTGTACTGTTATAGTTCTTTAACAGTTCCTTAATAGTTCCTATTATGTATAGTGACTGGCTCTGAACACATTATCTGATTTAACATGCTATCCATCAAATTCCTTTCTAAGAAAAATAAAACTCGAACCAAGGCTGTCGCATGCCCCTTATCTATGATTTTACTAAGGTAAAACACAGTATATTGATTTATCAGTAATGGATTAAAACAAACGAAGCGACTAGACATGGTGACTATAGCTTTCTACCCAGTTAAACTCTGGCAAACTGAATCCACTGACAACCCCTTGCTAATCGAGAACTCGCCCTGCAACAGAGCTAAGACTTCGGTCATTTGTCTGAACTTTCCTGAGTCCTTTACCAGCTTGAATCGAGGCTAGTAGGGCGCTTCGGTCAGATGTTCCTGCCGGTGCAGCTGGAGGAGCGGGTGGAGGAGGGGCCAGGGGCGCCATGTGAGGTACAGGCGGGGGCGGTGGTGGGGGGGCAGCATCTGGAGAACCGGAGCTGAGCGCTGTCGAGGGAACCGGTGCTACCATTGGTGGGGGTGGTGGTGGTGGTGGTGGTGGTGGGGGAGCAGCAGAGGGAATAGACAAAGTTCCATCTGTCTCGGGTGCTGCAGGAGCGGCTACTGGAGTACCTGGCGTAGGAGTAGATGGTTTCGAAGGAGATTTGTCGTCCATAGCACTCAAAGGCCGCGGTGGAGCCATAGTACCGAACAGGATGCTTGCGAGCTGCTTCGCACTTCCACCGCCAGGCCGCCCATCGTCATCATCATCAGATGATGAGTCGAAGTCTGATCCTGCTGCAGACCAATCGTCATCCGTCTCAGGGCGTGCACGGGACACACGTTCTATCGGACCCGCTGTTGTGAATGCAGGCTTCGCGTTCTCTTGCTGCTGTGCAAGCCGGTGGAAAGGGTTAGTTGACTGAACGTCGGCCTTGGGGGAAGTTACAGGGACACCAAGAGCGGGTTGTGATGTGGCAACTTGGCTCTCGGTGGGCAGACTGATCTTCTTGAAATAAGGGTTCTTCGATTCAGTCTCTAGAGGGAGGTGGGCTAATCCGGTGCGTTCGCTGGTTGGAGAACTCGTAGCACTGGCCGGTCCGTCCGACTCTGGTCCAGGAACGGGAGGGACTGGAGCCGAGGGGGCAACAGGCACTGCAATGTCAACTCCAGGAAGAATTTGACTCTGCGCAGGGGTGCTATGCTGGGGAGTGATATTCTCTGGACCTTCTTCATCTGAGGAGCTTTCCTCATCTAGGGCTTCCAGCTCCAATTGAAGCTGCCTTTCCCGTTCTTTAGCCATTTCAAGCTCCGCACGTTGAGCAGTAAGCTTGGCTTCCTGCTCTTTCGCTAATCGGTCTGCTTCTTCTTTCCGCCGCTTCGCTTCCTGTTTTTTAATTTTGCCTTGCTGCACCTGTTCTTGGAGTGCTTGGAGGCGGGCTTCTTGTGCCTCCCTCTCTCTCTCGAACTCCTCTTCACGTTTCCTAGCATCATCTCTAGAATCCTTTGTCAGCGATTGAAAAAATTCAAGACAAAAACTTAACTATAGTCACATACTCAAGGCGTCTCCTCTCCCCTTGTGCCTCTTCTTCTTCGCGGATTGTTTGTGCCCGGGCAGCCTGTTCTACTCTTGCCAATTCTTCTGCAGCCTTTTTAGCCTCCGCCTGTCCCGCGCTGTCAGTACGGCCACGTCTCGAAGGTGGTGCCGGCGGGGGTTTCTTGGACGTCGGTTTAACAGGTTGCGCCATTGAACCACCCTGCTCTTCGGCCAGTCGACGCTGTCTTTCTTGCTCGCGTCTAGTATCTTCTTCCTCCGCTTGCTTCAACCGTTCCTCGCGCTCCTTTTTTTCGCGTTCCTGACGCTGAAGGAGGGTTTCTGCAGTGTTATTGTGAGGCTTGAGACCAGCAGCTGCCATTCGTTCAGCAATGCGCTTCTGCGCACGTTCCCTTGCAGCGGTAACACGATCCTCGTGGGTAGAACCAGGCAATGAGCCCGTGGAGCCAGTGGACGGGGGGGGAGAAGGCCGGGTAGCGGGCGCTTCATCGTATCGTGGACGCTCGCGCTCCTCACGCATGGATCGCGATACCCTAGACCGTTGTTAGTACCATAAGAGGGTATTCGATGTCTTGTTGAACAATGAAACTGGAGTATTTTGGAAGCAACTTACTCCTCTTTCCGAATGTATGCGGTTCGGCTGTTACGCTTTAGGTCGTAAATAAAGTCTCGAATCACATCCTCTACCCCCAAAGCATCTTCCCACCGCCGCCTTTCATGCTCGCGCGTGGAATTTTCACTCGCATCCTTCAGAGTATCCTCGAGACTTCGAGCAAAGTCTTTTACACTGTCCTCCACATCACGAGTCATGGCATCATTCTTTTCTCTATCTGCCTTAATTTTGGCGCTTTCGACTTCAACTCGTCGAGTTGCGGCACCATCATCATTTTGAGAGGACGGGATCGGCCTACCGGCAAGCTCGGCTGCACGAGCTTGCATTCTAGCGCGAGCACGAGCCTTGATACGATCCGCCTCTGTCACAGCACCTCCTGGACCAGTTCCCACGACATTCGACGCACTATTAGGGTGATCCTTTGCGTCCTTCAGGCGGAAAAGCTCGAGTTTAGCCTCAGCAATATCACGCTCAACCCGTCGAACATCTGAAGCTACTTGAGGAACTTGGTCCTCATAAGATTGCAGCTGACGGCGTAGGGACCTTCGCTCGGCACCGTTGTCAAGGTTGCGGAAGGCCGCATCCGGGTGTGTGTCAATGTCATCCTGAACACGCCGGATTCGATCCATAAGGCTCTCTGCTTCCCGACGATCTCTACGGTCCAGAGCCTCTTCTTCTTCGGCGCGATTCTCGTCCTGAAAGTCGACTGCTTCCAACATGATTTGTGTCTCGCGTATCTTCTTCCTCAGCTGCCCAACGGACAACTCCTCTTCAGATGCTTGCGAAGCAGCAGGTGACGGCGTCCTACCATTGTTTCCAACACGGCGACGGGCGCTAGAACGATACCCAGCAGCAGCTTCGTCATTATTCTTAAACAAAGTGGCGTCTTTGCGGCCCAACCCGGGAGACACTCCACTACCACCACGGAATGAGTGATCTTTGAGATAACTTACACCCGTTTTTTGCGGTTGTAGAAAGGCACCGGACGCTTTTCGACTTTCCGCATCTTGAGAGAGCATCGATTTGATTGTGCCTATCGAGTCATTGAGATTCCTTGTTGATGGTGGCACTAGCTCCGGTGGGAGGCGATTCGGAACCGGATATCCATTCAGCTTCCTGTATATTAGATGCATCGCCACAGCGAATTCATCCATGTTGAGCCGGCCTCTGTTGTGGGGATCCGCCAGTGTCCAGATACGCTCGAGATCTTTACGATCCAGCCCACTTTGCCCCATGATTTCGATAGCAGTATCACCGCCAATGAAGCCCTTATGAAATCCATCCCATGCCCGAAAGAGATCATCATAGATCTTTTTCTCCTCTTTGGTGATCGCCCACGGAATGTGAGCATTTCCGGAAAGACCAGCGGCTGAATATCCACCCTCACGGCCCGGTTGGGGCATTAGTTGCTGTTTAAGGGCTTCTATATTGGGCAATCCAGATGACGGAGCATTGACAAAGCCCCACTGGCCGGGAGCTCCAGTAGGCTGGGCGATCAAACCAGAAACCCCACCGGTTTGTGCGGGACTGAGGTTGGGCCCGAGGCTCGTGGGTATCGGCGGCACCGGGGGACGGGGTCCACTATAGCCTGTAGGCTGGGGATTAGACATCAGTCCTGTTGGTTGAGCTTGTAGAAACTGTTGCTGGGACTGCCCGGGGAAGGCCGTGGCTTGCGGAAGTAGAATTGAGCTTTGGCCAGCAAAAGAAGCCTGAGTAGATTGAATGCCAGTCGGCTGAGTGTGAAATCCCGTTGGCTGCGCTGCGAGCTGCGTGAGAAGCTGAGAATTGGTCGGCTGTTGAGGTTGCGGTTGCTGAGGAGCTGGAGGAGCAGATTTGTTCTCCAGTAACGGCGCATCGAAGTTTGGAACATTCGTGGGGATAGCCGTCTCTGGCTGCGTGTCAGGGACCTGAAAGGAAATGATATCTACCATACTAGAAACTTCATTCTTTATCTTCTCGGGGAGCGCATCTGGCAGCTCTCTGCCTGTAATCCGTATGTTGCACAGATACATAGCCAAAGCAAACTCCGGAAAAAACAGCTGGCCCGACTTTGTGGTGTCTGACAAGACCCATATCTTCGACAGATCACTTCCTGGAAGCCTTGACCGCAGAAGTAGGTCTTTGGCCTTTTCTCCACTCATCGTCTGACTCTCTCCGACTGCTGATTTAAACAGCTGTTCGAATTTAGCCTGGTCTTGTGCTGTTATAAACGAGAGTCGGATGCTGGGAATTTTGCTCCCTGGAGTTTTGGGGGGCGGGGGCGGAGCAGCACCAGCGTTATCCCTGAAGGAGTCCGCTATCGCGGATGATGTCTGAGGGGCCAGCCGGACCGGTAAGCCAGTACTCGAAGGGACTTGGAGCTGCGGGGCTTGACTTTGCATGGGGTATCCCGTGAACTGGGGCGGCTGAGCGGAGGTCTGGAAGCCAGGTTGCTGCTGCGGTTGTGGAAAACTTGTGAATTGTGGTTGCAACAGCCCTGGCGAGAACCCTGTGGGTTGAGGCTGCAGATGAGAGCCTCCGAATCCAGACAATTGGGAACCATATCCGGTAGGTTGGGGTGCAAGACCTTGATGCTGTTGTTGCTGCTGGGGTGTTTGCTGCCCGTTGGGGGTTTGAGAATATGAAGGCTGCTGCATGAAAGGTGGTTGTCCCGGGCGAGCGCTGTTGGCGCCGCCCATGAAGGAATTCGACGAAGAGTACATTCCTAACACGGCTCTTGCATTGAATAAGCAATCAAACAATCACATAAGAAAGAAAAAGTGGTAGGCCACAGATTGATAATAAAAGGATAGAGAGACCGAACAAACGAAACAATAGAAGCCGCCAGACAGGTAGCGATGGAAGGTCAGGAGCTGCCAGGTGACGACGGCTGCAGTCAGGGACGCGGAGCGCCTGCGCTAATCCTAATTTGATAGTGGGCCGCGATTACTAGGTTGGACCAACTCCGCAGTTACCTAAACTAAACCAACATATCAGGAACAAAACAGGTACAGGCGTCTACTAGTACTTAATATTAAGATAACTAATCATTTTACTCTGCCGATCATGCAATAGAGTATCGAGCAAACACAACAGTCCTCGCGGTATGCTGGATCAATTATCGCTGGCGAAAACCACAACTCGCATACCATATCACTATCGTAGATAATATACAAATCCCCAGGAATATGCCAAGAGCTAGCTTCGTTGATTATAGGTGCCAAGAAACAAACACACAGGAAGTGAAATAAAATTAAAAAGAAGACAGCAAAAGAGAATAGACATAACCGAGCACACGCATAACCAGCTGCGTAAATTCGAAGCAAAGGTTTCAACCAGCTCGCTTTAGTTTCGGCAATCACCTAGGCTCCATCTTGTACACTATCCTGTTGCTGCTGAGTGGCTCCCACCATCTTGCGGAGTTCATATTCCTTAGTGAATTCGCGTGACAAGATTCCCAGGTCTCGAACGAGTTCGTGGCACGCAGAAATGACGGCTTCCTTGGGGGTAATCTCACCGTCGGTCTGTACACGGAGTTCGAACTTTGGCACAAGCGGATGAGGAACCTAAAGTTTGCATGTCAGTCATATTCGTCGATTTTCTATGACAGAGAGACAAGGGGGGATAGAGGTCAATGCAACTAGCAGATTACGGAAGTTCTACCTTGTACGCAGCAAAGAGCACGTGGGAGCTTTGGAGAAGGCGGGAGCGAATTAGGTTTCCAAGAGTATGATCTTCCTTATTGAAAGTGAAGATGGCAGAGGATGGGATACCTAAAACCGAACTTGAGTGTCTGCTAGCATATTAGACCTGTAACGGGGATGCGTACGTGTATCAATCTCCATCTCAACCTTGTTCTCGCCATTCGCAAGGACGAATGATTCATAACTATATTCAACCCATGATTAGCCAATTCTCCCAGTAAGGATTCTCAAAATAGACGCGACATCATCTGTAAGCTGGGAATAACGGCGTGATAGGTATAGCAGACCTGGGTTGCTGGTCATGTGAAACTTTGACAGTAGATTGGCAGCCGTTACGTGGAGAACTGCCGTTCGCATTTATCCAACGTGCGTAGGCCATCTCCTTGGAGAGAATATATTCTTTGCTGGAACTCATGGTCTCGGGGAGAATAGAGGGGTAGAATGGGGGTGAGAAGGGAACAGGCAGAAAGCCCCCCGGAAAGAGGTGAATGAGAGACGAATAGCAATGAACACAAGTAGATCAAACACATGCGTTAATGAAGCAGATGCCCTAGATCTACTACCACGAATGATTCAAGCCCTCATGGAACGGCCAATGACAACTGGTGGATTGAACCCTCTCCTTCCTTTTTCAGCGACCAGGAACTCATTGTTGCCTTATCTATATTGAGAAATAAAGATTCCATGGAAAACAGTCGATAAATCATACTTTATATGGGTTTTGCAAGCAGCAAGAAGAATGATGATAATAGTAACAGCAATAATAGAACTAAGAATAAAAAGAATAGTCAAAGCACTGCTTTCCTTACCGGTCAGGGGCATTCATCTTGAACCAAAAGATTGGACAACCCAGATTAGACGTTGTTTAACCCAGTATAGTTGATATTAGTACAGGGTCGGCGGTTCACAGGACCTGATGGATTCTGTATTTCTCGGTATTTTATGCTTGGATCGTTGCTTTTCTGGGGTCTGGTCGTCTTTTTCCAGGCTGAGATAAATATACCAGTAACAAATTATAGAAAGAAAATGAGCAAGCTGATAATGTCTCCGTAGGGAAATAGAGATAGGTACTCAAAGTGCTCTGGATAAGCCAATAGTATTATATTAAGGATGGAGCTTGACAACACCAGAAATTGGAGGAGAGCAGATAATAATGATGCTCTTGCAGCCCTATGTTTGCTCAGTGATACGGCATTGTCTTATCTCAATCCTTTCACCTGGAGATCCCGTGATCACACGCACGTGATTCTACACTATCCTTGTTGGGTGGTTTGCATTTGCCGCCCACAGCGCCTACTAGTATTCTCCGGACTGCTTCTGCTCTAATAATCTAGTCTTGCACACAAGTCATCTGAAAATGGACAGCTCCCCTTAGTATCTGCTTCTATGGTTGGTTTTCTAGTGTCTTCACTTGTGATATCTATATTGTCTACTCCAGAATTGGAGTTCTGATGCAGGATATGATGCTAACCCCACAAGAAGCCATTGGTGCAAAAATATTCTTAAGGCGACACTCTTCCAAATCCCACCGGTGTGGGCTTCCTCAACTGGGGCACAAATATTAAGCCACTACGTACTAGTAGTATCTACAGCTGTAGTTGAGAGATCCAAGGCACAGTCCAATGACTTGGCTCCGAAAGTACTCCGTACTCTGGAGTAAAACAAGTGCACGCTCCAACCTCGTCCCAGATAAAGATTTGGGGTCAGGCCGATATTGTATCTGAAAATGAAACCATTGCTGCTACTGCGGTTGTCGAGGCGCTACCCTGATAGTTTGGCCGTCCAGGGCTCGTCTGCAGGTCGTCACTGTCTAGCTCGATCAGCCTCAGCGTTTGCACGTGATAAATATACACATATATATATATATTGTTTACAATGTCCACCGAGTCACATCCCCATCATCGCACCGGGCGTGATTGCCGATGACTTAGGAATGATAGCCTCGTTCTGGGTCTGCTTAGACTGTCATCGGTATTTCTTGGCTTTCCCCAAAGCAAACATCACACGTTGCTCCTAGAAGATCTTAAGTGCATCCAGTAATGGTAACACTATTCGACTCAGCGTATATGACAGAGTAAGGACTATGGCAGGCTGGCCCATTCAATCGTTAGGCGAGGTATAATAAATATGAGCTATGCGACGTTTTTCTTGGGTTGGGGGGGGGGCAGGAGATTCATGACAATAAGCTCGGGTTGGTTAATCGTAGTGTCATTAAGACGTTATCTGTATAGTATGTCTTATAGAGTACCTACTAAATAGTTGGAGGTACAGGCGCTGAAAGATAGAGAACAGACTTGAGAAAGTATGGGAAGAAAGAAAGTGATCCGCCAAACGCCAACCACCTATAACATCCTGCGTTTCTCCCAGTACAAGGGGGGCGGCAAAAAGGAAAGAAAAGAAAGAAAGAAAGAAAAAGGAAAATTCTTGGGACGTATAACACCTTCATGAATAATACATTAGTTAGAAGGTGGGATGATTAGTGAAGCGCAAGGGTGTGCGACAAAAATATACTCGCGACATGACCGGCAAGAATGTATCTACTGATTCTGTCAATGTACCGCATTTAACAGGTCTCCAAAACTCGACGTCTCTTTCTTCATCTTCCAATTGTTGCGCTTTTTCTCACGTTTCTTCATCATTTCTGCCCAGCCTTCATCGTCATCATCATCTGGGCCTGCGCCATGACCCGTTGAGTTAGTGATCGCTGATTTATCGCCACTCGGGATTTGATCAGTAGGTCTGGTTTGAAGTGATCTATCTGAAGGTATAGAGAGCGTCGACTTTTGGTTCTCATCATTCCATGATTTTGACATAAAGGGAAGGGCGGCTGGTCCGGGCTCTGGCTGTAACATTGACACAGGCCTATACCGAGGCGCCAGTCCAACATTGCTGCGTTCTGATGGAGCAATGGATGGAGCATAGCCTTGCCCTGCTGGCGTGCTTGGTCGGTTACCTGCCACATTATATGGCATGGCTGGGCTATTAAGACGAGAAGAAACGTTAGGATCAAGCATACTCAGTGTTCTTTGATCGTTCCGGTAAGCAGCAGGAGCATTGTTGACTCCTCCAGCTGAGGGCATTGAGGATGGTCTCATATTCGTGTTAGCCGCCAGTATGGGCGGGGGGCCTGGCGGTGGCTCTAATTGCTGAGGTGGAACCTGTCCACTCTGCATCTGGATCATCTGCTGCATCCACTGCATCTGCATCTGCATCATACTTGACATTTGCTGAGATAACTGTATCTGTGCTTGCTCTGTAGCAGATATCCCTGACGGTGGCCCAGCCGAGCTCGGAGGATTCATGCTCATCATCGTATAGGGCCTGGGAATGCCACTAGGTGGGGTGGGTACTGTCGACGGTCCACCTTGATACTCATACATAGCTTGTGTGTTGGGGCTACCTCTTCTCATTGCTCTTGCTCTTTCCTCAGTGGCGATCACCCCTACCAATCCCCCAGGAGGCAATGCAGGCGAGGGTCCTACGGCAGCTGCTGGGCCTCCATAAACTGAAGAACCACCCCCGAAGGCCAAAGATTCCCTATTAGAAGGATTGACTAGACTTGCCCCAAAGTATGGGTCCCGTGGAAGATTTCTGGCGAAAACAGGGAGACTAGAACGATTACCGGGTTCATGATCGGCAATGGAGCTCGAGGATGATATATAAGGCTGATGAAATGAGGCTCGGAGATTGGGGATTGAGTTCGAAGGGACAAGGCGGCTAGGAGGACGATTCCTATTGGGAAAACCATGTGCTGCCAGGATCCCCAGGGGGATTTCCTCGTCTTCATCACCCTCACTGCTCTTTCCACTGCCCGATCTATGACCTGAATTCAACGGTGTGACAGTTAGGTTCGGCGTACTGTTGTTAGCCCGGTCAACCTCTGAGCGAAGCGCTGGCGCTGGGGACTCTTGGCCGGTCACCTTCATCATCTGCTGTCGGTACACCGAAAGATGGGCCTCCTGCTTCCGTCGCTGCCTTTCTACTTCGCGATTCTTCTCTGCCTCATCCTCTTCGTCAAACTCGCTCTCTGCAGAGTCTTCACTCTTAGACGCATCGCTGTTGGATCTTCTCAACTCCTGCTGTTGTCTGTAATGTTCGAATTGTGAAGGTGTCATCACTTTGTTCGACGATGCTGCTGGTGCTGGTTGCCTCTCCTCGTACTGCGCAGCCAATCTTGCATGTGCTGCTATAGAAGGATCAGGGTGGTCCTCGGCCACACCGAGCGATTTGTGTGAGACCATTGGATTAGCGTCCGAACGGCCTGAACCATCCGCAGTACTTGCATAGTTGTTGCTGAAGAGGGGAGTGTCATGCTCTGCATCGGAATCCTCATGTTCAGCAGTCAACAACACCTGCGAGCTTCTTTTATTAGTATATAGAGACTCCATGATCAACTTGGCATCTTCATCTTCAACGGGTGTAGAGGCTCGATTGCTGGTATAATGAACACTCCTTCTCAAGCCTTTATCGGGTATAGCCTGAGGTTGTTCCAGTGAACGATGAGTTGTGGTCCTCGGCATTACGCTCGACAAGGGCAAGGATCTCCGACGGTCCTCTGGCGACACAGAATGAGAATTCAGTGTTTGTTGTGATGCTGAAGTGCGGTCCTGAGGTGAATCGCCCGCCATTAGAAGCCCTTCCCCCGAGTGTCGGCTATCCCAGGAGTAGGGTGAGGGCTCGATTTCCTTCGATCGGTCCGTATTGATAGGAGTGGGACGCGGTGACTTTGCCTGCTTGCGACCTACCAGGTCTGAAGACGGGGAAAACTGCCGTTGGGGGGTTAATAACAACATACTGCATAGTCTCAGTTACGTATCATACCATATCTTCTGACCTTTCTCGAGAAGCCTCCCCTTTCCCAACTTCATCGAACATGTTGTGGAACTCGTCTTCTCCTTGACCAATCTGCAGGTCTGTGTCCAGCAGTTTCGGAGGTGTCGCTGTGCTGGTCGTGCTGGCTGTCATTGCCCGACTTCTAGAGGGACCTGGGGTGGAGGGCTGAGGAGGCGGCGTCGGTGCTGAAGCCTTGGAAAATCTGCCACCAAAAGAGAATGTTCGACCAGCTGCGCGCAATGCACCAGAAATGGGCGGAATCGGTATATCGTACAGGTTTCGAGAGTGCGATGCTGGAGTATCAGATGGATTAGGACCATCCGTTAAACGGTGCGTTGCCGAGTGAAATCTTGCTGACTTTGGACGCTCATGCAAGCCTCCACTACCATTGTTCTTGTCAGCCATCTCTTTGAAATACCTGCAGGATTGGATGGAGAGCATACGGGCTTCTCTGGCTGGGGCTATCAACCTCCGCGAAGATGTTGTCCGAATCTTCGGCAGTTGGGTAAAACCGTTGTCCGTCACTTAGTCGTTTGGCTAAGAGATTGCCCTCGCTATAGGATTTTTTATCAACAGAAGGGCGTTCAAACACTCGAAAAGATTGTGGAGGATTCTCTCCCTCTTCCAAGGCATTTCCTGACGATTTCCGCCGAGCAAAACCTTTAGGAAGTTTGATTGGCATCTGTGCTCTGGCCGAAGGTCGCGACCACTAGCGAAGTCGGAACCACTTTCAGAAATAGAATTAGCGAGCAGGACCAGCTCCGGGATCCTCGTCGGAAGATGTATGGCGGGGAAAAAAAATATAATCATAAAATGTTCTGTGTCAGTAGCGCTACTTGCTTCCCATTAACAGGGCTGCGGTGGAGGATTGTTTCTGTTTGGGCTGATTCTGGGCCTTTGCCAAAACTCTCGGATTCCGATCTTGGTGGGGCTTAGTCGAAAGAACGCCGAGGAATGAAATGACAGACAGCCAAAAGCAATGTGAAGGACAGTTAGTGGCTGTGGCGTCGAGATATTAAGGGGCCTTAGAAGAATGCTAAGAGAATGAGCGGAGAGGTCAGATGGGAAGTTTCTGGCACAACTGTCCATAGGCAATCAACGCTTGCTAAGACAGGACCCTCACATACCACCAGCGGGGCTTAAGAATGATTATTATTAGTATACGGAGTGACGAATATTTTCTGTGTGGGCTTAAAAAAAAATAATGATAATAATAAAGTAATAAGGCAAGATACAAGGTCGTTGCCGAAAGTGGGCAACGGAAGGCACGAAAAGGGTGCCAAAATTGGGGACAAAGAGAAAAATGGTTAATAGGGGAGGGTAGAAGAAAAAAAAGAAGAGGGAGAGGGAGAGCTATCAACAAGAAAATAAGACTAATAACAAAAAATACTGTAATATAAGTTGTATGCACTGAAGAGATGGATAGATAGTTGAGCAAAAGCTCTCGCTTTCCAGGCCCAAACAGTGAACACACCCATTAGGGGATGTGGAGTTGTGGAGCTGAGCGCTAGTCTCGTCACCAAATATAGCAAAAAGGTGTGACCTCAGCTCCCTCGGAGTAGACAAGAACAATGACTAGGAGAGGACTGTATCTAATCTAGAATATCGAACAAAAAGAAAACTTGGTGGGAAAACGTAATGAACCGGCGAAGAAGGATTGCTAAAGAAAGAATGGGGATTGGCAACACCTGCTACTGACTCTGTACAGTAAAAGAAGGAAAACAACATTGGAAACCTACTCCGAAGTACAGAGTATACTTTTCCACAGCCAGCCTCCATCAGGCGGTTGGGGCACTGGCCTCAGGAGAACAAGGGATTATTGAGCGAATCAGAGCCAGTACCACTTGGCATGTTCTACTAGTATAGAGCCACTCAAACTGAGACTTTCTCTTCGTCAATAAATCTCCCATGTGGATATGGTGGCCCTTGACTAGCGCTTCATAGTGCTTCCATACTCCTATCACTCTGTGCTACCCCTTCCAACAATACAAAACGTATGATCGTTTATTTAATTTTGGTCTTCTTTCACTCGATAGTAGATATCTCAATACCCGATCTTTGTATTTCCGGCTATTTAAGGTTATGCCAACGTCCAACTTGGCTTCATGGATTTCGAGGTCTTTTCTAGCTCAGTTACCCGGTCGGCCTTGTTCTGTAAAGATCTTAGTCCTTTTTTGTTGATTTCTTATGAAGAATTGGCGCTGTTGTATTTCTGCTGCTTTGTAATAACTTTTTCTTGAGTTGGCATCACTTATTCCTTGCTAAAGAAATTGAGTGTAATGTATCAAACAAAGTACGAAACAGAGCAAAAGACAATCCATCCCTATAAATTGCAGCTCCATCGTTTAAACTGTTAGGACCTTCTGATATGGCCGTATCCACCATATGCTGTTGAAGAAAGGGAGCCGGAAGAGAGGATAAGAAGGTTGATTTGGAAGCGCAAAAATGAGGAACTAGGAGTCTAGTACGCTGTACGGAGTACACACTTGACCTTTTCAGGGGCAAGCTGAGCCGCTGTGAAGCCCGATGTGGCAAAATTCAACATACTTGGGCCAGCAGAAAACTTGTTAGCTGGCTCTCGTATTTTGCTCTTTTATTTATTTAATTTTCATTTTTTTCCCCATTTCTCTTTTCTGTCTTTAGTTTTTTTTTTTTTTTTTTTTTTTCACAAAAATATATTCACCTAATTTAGAGTGTATCAAAAGCATGAAAGCAGATTTGGACTGGTATGAAGTATGGGAATGTTTCACACTCTACCCAGGATTTTTGAAGACTTAGTTTTGTTTGTGGCTATTTTACATGTCATTTGTTTATTTAGGCGACTAGGGTAGAGAATCCGAGGGGTGGGAGATGGGAAAGAGAGAAGGAAAAAAAAGGGGGGCGTTGGTAACTTTCCGTGGTTCACTACGGAGTAGTGCTCTACATTTTATTGTATTGACTGGCCCATATACAATTGAGATTCCAAACTATGCTCTGTATGGAGTAGTCATCGTATTACACGCGAACTACGGAGTGCGAGGTGATCATCGTTGATTATACTCCGTATTCTGTCTCTCGTATCCTTCACGCACAGAATAAGGAGCAAATCTGCAACCGACAATTGCATCGTTTTTACTGTGTAAAGAATCTACCTTTCCCTTTTGATTCAAAGTGGATGATGACCAGGATCACCTATCATTGTTGCACTTCAAGGCTCCACTTGAGTAACATGATCTATCTCAAAGAGCTATTAAACGGCAGATGTATGTACTTGTAGACCCAGTCATTCGATGAGTCCCTTATGCCTTACTATGGATGTAGGCTCACGATCATGTACTAACGTTAGGACAATGCGGGTCGCTGTCATCGTATTGACACCTACTCACCGCTATGCATTGTGCTATTCTCTACCATGCGCGAAGCAACTACGTTGCTCTCTTCAATTTCGTTTCGGATCATGACACTCCAGAAATGCACTGTATTTGTGTGGGGCATATTACAGTACGTACGGGCAAAAGGAAAGCCTACAACCTACGCTGTCGTCGAATTCGTACTATAATCGATTCATTGTCAATTAGTCACATTGTAGGCATAAGAGTTAAATAGTGTAGACACTGGGAATGAAATCAACCAAAGAAAGAAGAACGAGGGAAACGAAGCCATTTCCCAGTTCCTGTGGACGGACTCACTACGTAATACCGTCCCGGCCGCTCTATCACAACATTACGACCCTTGGAAAAATTGACGGTTCTCATGCTAAGCTTCATAGGTTAGGACTTGCCTTCGACAACGATTGTGTCTTGTGCTTTAAGCCCTCCAACCAACGCAACACCGACGGGGATCCGGACATCTCTCACATTAAAGCACGCGAAAGCGACCAGCTTCTTGATTGCTGGGCAGCATTGTAATATTCGACCTACGAGGTAATCGTCCATGACGGTATGGAAGGAGATATCCAATTCCTTCAGGTTGGGATAGACTTTGCTATCCGAAAATATTTTCTCGAAGGCAGCACGCGATACATGGCGACAGGATGATATATTCAATTTCCGTATTGCTGGACCTGAGTGATCCATAAGGGCAATAAGGCCTTTAGAGGCAAGCCCAATTGCATCCCTAGGGCCATCCGGATTTGAGTTATCCACATCTCGTGTAGAGGATAAATCAACGTATTCCAGTGGAGGGTTTGGCCACTCAGTGAACAGTTTCGCGAAGCCTTCGTCGGTGCACACAACGTTGCCTGACAAACGAAGTTTTGAAAGGGCTCGGCATTTATTATGGATGGTCTCCAGAACGCAATTGTCCGCATTAGCAAAGCCCTCTAAAGATAGTGTATGTAACCTTTGGCCGACCGTAGAGACCAATTTTATAAGACTGTCGTTTGGTGTCTCTTGAACAAGGTCTAGAGACAAATGCTCTAAAGATGTCAAGGACGAGAGAGCTTGCAAGGAGATATGGCCAACTTTCCAGCATTGCTTCAACTTCAGGCGACGAAGTTCAGTGCAGTTTCTACACATCGCTTCAACGGTCTCATCGTCAAGGGAAGAATCAAGGTTGGACAGCTTTAGGGATTCTAATTGGGGACCAAGTTTTTCGAACAGGCGTCGCCAATATGAGTCTGAAACCAGGTTGGCAGCATCCAGCTGCAAATATTTCAACCTCAGATCACGCCCCAATAAATATTCGACGACTGTGTCTTTCATTTGACCAGCAAAACGAAGGTTGACATTCGTAAGGGTAGGCATGAAGGCAAATATCTTCTGGAAATCGTCTGTCTCTAGTTCTAGAATGCGGTCAGGTAAAGGTCATACATCGATTTATAACTATGAACATACTAGCGGAGTCATAAATGTTAATCGAGTCCAGATCAGGTCGCAGAAACAGATTGAGGGTCCTCGATGTCAAGGCACGTCTCTTGGATAGAATCTGGCCAAGGCGATGTAGTAGTGGGGAAGGCAAGTCCCCGAATTCTTCGATATCGTTGATATTATCGGCAATTTTCTGGTAAGTGACGTCAGTATTCAGAGAATGGCTGTAGTTGATAATGGTTATATAGTGTGTGTGTGAGCGCATGTACACATACCTTTATGCACATTTCAGCCAAGCTCAAAGCACCTTGTTGGGCTATACCGTCAAGTAGATTGCTCTGATTCTGACGGCGTCCAGTCCTTGGTCCACATTTCTTAGCCTTAGGTTTTTTCCCATCATCTTCTAGACTCCTGGAGCACTTCGCACATAGGAGCCCCCCATTGGGGCCTGTTTTGCTATATGGCGTAACTGTGAATCGTTTACTGCAAATTTCACAATTCTCTAATTGGCCTGGCATGGGTCGAGATCTCTGGTACATTATCTCTCTTGCAATGAGATTATCGTCATCATCTGGCTCCCCTATTCGCCGAGCTTTGCGCCGTGCGAACTCTTTGCTCTGTTTGATTTTTGCTAAACTAGCGGCTTCTTTTCGCTTTCGCTTCTTTTTCTGCTCCGGGGATTCATCGAAGCTCTGCTCAGCTTCGTCATTCTCTGCGGGGACTGAAGGTTCTTCACTGGCAGCTTGATCTTCAGTTTCCTCTAAACGTCTTCGGTAGTCTTCACGAATTTGAGCAGCGGATATATTGTTAGACTAAGACAAAACCATTGGTCAGCGATGACACCAAAGATAGACGAACAATTGGCAGCGTAGCAGCCACTCACAGCTAAGAAATCAGTAAGGGCAGAGTGTCTATCATTGTCTTATTAGCTTTATAGCACAATAGGACGCATCCTGTAAGATATTACATACGGGCCTCTTATTTGGTTTCTAGTTTGTCTTCTATTTGCCCTTTGACCAGTCAGTGAATAAATCGTCATCTTTGCGGATATTTCACCTACATTTTGCGGGGAAGCTTTCAAGAGAGTCGGGGTTGAAGATAAGAGCTTCCTTGGACGGGAGAGGGTCAAAAGAGGTAATATGAAGTCACAGGACCCGTGGTGATTTCGCGTTCCACCTTACGCGAGGGCGCTTATCGTGTTTAGGAAGGATGACTTGCAGAGGCACCGTCCACAAAACATGAAGGAAAATTGTACTATTTATGCTTTCAGGAAAGTAAACTGATATTATGACTCAGTGGTGAAAAGTTTTTATTCTGCCCATTCACGTATCCATCCATATTTCCTGTCCCCCTTGCCGATACCCGTAGCTGCAGCCTAGGCTCAGGTACCATATGCAACAACCAGATTTGCCACTTGCAGGCTTTTGCCTAAAAACACGATAGCACTTACAGTTAGATTAAGCTCAATTTTGTTTTACCTTTTTTTCTTCTTCTTCCTCCCCAATCAGCATACGGAATAAAGGGGTTTTATCCAAAGGCCAATATGGGGAAGGAGACAACAATAAAGGTAGGACCTCAGACGGCCTCAAGCGCAGGTAAGTGTGCTGATTCTTTGGATTGTCATATATCCCAACCGCATCAGTTTTCAATCACGAAGAAAGACAAAAGACTAAGAAACGAGCTAAGAATGAAATCCGTTGCTAATCTGATTAAAAAACTCATCCAGACAACTCTGCACCGCCCCGGCGCACTTCTTCGAGGCTGGCACGCTCCTCTGTCTCTGACGCTAGGAAAAGCGACACTACAGTTACGGAGGAAGAATGTGGGTTGCATAATCCGAGTACTCTCAGATCGTTTCGCAGCAGCAGGCTGGCAGCCGTTGAAGTCGCTATTCCATTGAAAAAACAGTCGCCTACCTGCTCTACTTCATCCTCTGACTTGGTTGAGGATATATTTGGGGATGGTATAAATGCGTACAGTACTCCATCAAGTAGTGTGGCAGTTACTCCTGCCGAGATGAACATGACCAAACCAAGGAAAAGAGTTAGTGCTTCCGCTCGCGTTCGAGAACTACGTTCGAGTATAAAGTCCCTCAACACGCAAAAGGGGTCCAAAAGAGATTTTGCAACTATAACCTCAGACGACCCTACTGCTGAAAGCTCAGATACAGCCTTGGCTCAGGCTCTTCAGCTTCGAGAGTATCAGGAGTCCTCTTCGAAACGACGCAAGGCTCGAGGTGGGGTTAGGCTTGCAGTAGAGGACTCTACTGACAACGATAGTGTTTTGATGGGATTAAGTTACGACGAAGGGAATAGCACTGTGGATATCAGAAAGCGGCGTCCTACCCGCAAGACGAGGAACTCCGTCCAGAGTGTGGTATCAGATAGCGAAAGTAGCACCATCATGGAAGATGAGTCTGGGGATGAACAGGAATATTGCTCTGGAAGTGACTCTATGTCAGATGTGGATGATGATTCTGTCAGTCAAAGAACCAGGAACTCGGCTGGTTCAAGAGCTGGCGCACGAACGCGGGCACGGGCTTCGATGGTTTCCTTACCCACTGAACCGCTAGTTAGACAGCCAGGGATGTCCTATCGTGTAAGTCATATATATATGACCTCCTAGAATGCACTCTAAACACAGCTTTAGGCATTGAAAGAGCGAAAAAAACTCGAGAGGCAACATCCATATATCATGAAAATGTGGGATGAACTACGAAACAGTCCCCCTATTATCCCAGTCGCAGCAGAACAACCCCCTGGCATATCGAGAAATCTCAAGTTATTCCAGTTAGAAGGTCTGAATTGGATGATGCGGCAAGAGAGGTCCCAGTATAAGGGCGGTTTACTAGGCGATGAGATGGGCATGGGAAAGACGATCCAGGCGGTTTCCCTTCTTATGTCTGATTATCCTGTCGGGCAGCCATCCCTCGTCGTCGTTCCCCCTGTTGCTCTAATGCAATGGCAATCTGAGATTAAGGTTTGTCTTGTCTTGACATAAGTTCGCGTAAGAAATGATCTCACCTTTCTCTAGGAGTACACGAACGGTCAATTAAAGGTTCTCATATACCACAACTCGAATTCCAAAGTCAAGTCGCTCTCAGAAAACGACCTTCTGGCATACGACGTGATTATGATCTCATGTGTGTTTTAGCCCCATAAACAGAATACTGCTTTATCTCTAACGCCCGGGCTAGATTCGGGCCTTGAGTCAATACACCGAAAAGAATGGAAGGGGTGGAACCGCAGCGATGGGATTGTGAAGGAAGACAGTAAGTATCGACGTCCTTAATGCAATCTTTTGGCCTACTGACATATAACAGGTATTATCCACTCTATTCACTATCATCGTCTTATTCTAGATGAAGCTCATAGTATCAAGGTACACCCAATCTCATTATAGAGATTAATGCAACGGGCTGACATTTCTAGCAACGCACTACGAGTGTCGCCCGTGCGTGTTTTGCGCTCAAAGCCAAATACAAGTGGTGTCTCTCTGGTACCCCTGTTCAAAACCGAATCGGGGAGTTTTTTTCTCTCCTGCGCTTCTTAGAAATTCGCCCCTTCGCTTGTTATTTTTGCAAACAGTGCAAGTGTCAGGAACTCCATTGGTCGCAAGATGCGGGGAAACGTTGTACCCATTGTAAACACAGGTATAATGCATACGAGTATCATCTGTTTGTCCTTATCAATACTAACGGCCAGTGCAGTGGATTTAGCCATGTCTCAATCTTTAACCAGGAAATTCTAAACCCTAGTAAGTGTTTTACAGTAACGTGCGAATCCGCTCTAACTAGGTTTAGTCACAGAGAGAAACAATCCGGAAGCTCGAAAGGAAGCATTGTCTAAGCTACGTTTAATCACTGATAGAATAATGCTAAGACGCATTAAGCGAGATCACACGGCTTCGATGGAGCTTCCACCGAAGCGGTTAGTATACTCGGGCATCTTCATATTGAAGCCATTGCGCTGACAACTTACAGTGTTGTTCTGCACAATGAATTTTTCGGGGAGATCGAACGCGATTTTTCCAGAAGCATCATGACTAACTCAACGCGACAGTTTGATACATATGTGAGCCGTGGTGTAATGTTGAATAACTATGCCAATATCTTTGGACTTATTATGCAGATGCGGCAAGTTGCGAACCACCCAGACCTGATATTGAAAAAGCACGCCGAGAGTGGCCAGAACATCCTTGTCTGCAGTATTTGTGATGAACCGGCGGAGGAGGCAATTCGGTCTCGCTGCCGCCATGAATTCTGTCGCCGATGTGCCAAGGACTATGTGCAATCGTTTGATGCGGGCTCAGTTGTCGATTGCCCTAGGTGTCATATTCCACTCTCAGTTGATTTTGAACAGCCGGATATAGAACAGGAAGAAGAGCATATCAAGAAAAACTCCATAATAAATCGAATTCGGATGGAAAATTGGACATCGTCAACGAAGATCGAGATGCTCGTCTATGAGCTTTTCAAACTGAGAAGCAAGAAGCAAACGCACAAATCCATCGTCTTCTCCCAGTTTACTTCAATGCTACAGCTTGTTGAATGGCGCCTACGACGGGCTGGATTTAACACCGTCATGCTTGATGGAACTATGACGCCTGCACAGCGGCAGAAGTCAATTGATTTTTTCATGAACAATGTAGATGTCGAGGTATTTCTTGTGTCCCTCAAAGCCGGGGGCGTGGCCTTGAACCTCACCGAGGCATCAAGAGTTTTCATTGTTGATCCGTAGGTTTTCCCCTGAAGTAGTCATTTGATGCGTTTTTATATACCTCACTTACACTGTTTGTTAGATGGTGGAACCCCGCCGCTGAGTGGCAAAGCGCTGACCGATGCCACCGGATTGGTCAACGTCGGCCTTGTGTTATTACACGGCTGTGCATTGAGGATTCAGTTGAATCTCGGATTGTGTTACTACAAGAAAAGAAGGCCAATTTGATCAATGGGACCATTAACAAAGATCAAGGGGAGGCCTTGGAGAAGCTCACCCCAGAGGATATGCAATTCTTATTTCGGGGCTCTTGATAATACCTCCCCGGCGTCCATGCCTATCTATTTGTGTGCTTTATGGAACAAGTCAACTCTAAAGCCGGTCAAAGGACTTCCAACAGGTATTTCGAGAGTTCAACATGCCCCTTAGAGAAGCCTTGAACTTTTTAGAGCATTGAGAAGCTTTATAAGTAGATCGTTGTGACCGTTACTTTCACATTAAATTGCTGTTTCTTCCTTTCTTTCCTTTTCTTTGTTTTTACCCCCTTAGATTTAAGGCCAAAGAGACAATAGGGCAGTGCATCCATTACTTCAGAAGTATTTTGGCAGAAGACCGATTATGACACCTCACATGCTAGATCAGTATGCAGATAATACCGGATCCATTCAGCCCTATCGGTGATGTCACTTACTCCGAAGTTCTATTTGAAACCCCATACTCAATCCAGAAAGAACCCCCCCACCCCCTGGGTGACATTCCTAGAATACAAGTAGTAGATAGTAGTTATACTACCTGCATACATGTCCTTATAATCTCCTTCTCCGAGTGAACAGTGTTGAACCCAGAAGTAGACCCTGACTCCTTAATTCTTGGCGTCCCCCCTAAAAGGTTGAGATCGGCCCCAAAAGCTTAGCGATTCCTGAACCCTGAACCGAAGAGCCGTGGAATGGGGGAGACTGTGTGAAGTGGCGATAGTTAAACTATTCCCTTGACGATATTGATTTTCCAGGTGTCAATGGAGAATAGTGTGCCAGTGTGGTCTTTCTTCTTTTTTACGTTTGCTAAACTACCTACTGGCTTTCAAATCTTTGCATCTGCGCAGTGACGCAGTGACGCAGTCCCGCAGTTCCCGCAGATTCATCCGAACCCTGTCGGGTAGGCAGCAACAATACCTGCTCCGTAATCTAGACCACAACTGGTCCTGTTCGCCTGGCTTTAAAAGGGAGAGGGTAAGAAAAAAAACCGGAAATGCAAGACACACTACCGCAAAAGCGGCCATGACATTCGGTTGACAAAATTCGCACCCAGGCCTGTTGACAAG